TGACAAGCAATTTTCATAACAAATGGTTTTAGGCATTTTTGACTTTCCCAGAGGTTGAAAGAAAGGTGAAAATGCTCATTTCTTTTTTCTTTTTCTTTTTTTAAGATTGGTCCTGAGCTAACATCTGTTCTCAATCCTTTTTTTTTCTTTTTCTTCTCCCCAAAGCCCCCGAGTACATAGTTGTATATTCTACTTGTAGGTCCTTCTGGCTCTGCTATGTGGGATACTGCCTCAGCATGGCCTGATGAGCAGTGCTAGGTCTGCGCCCAGGATCTGCACTGGTGAAACCCTGGGCCGCTGAAGCGGAGCGCATGAACTTAACCACTCAGCCACGGGGCTGGCCCCTGAAAATGTTCATTTTTTTTTGATGGCAATAAAGCATTTCATATTATTATCACAAATATGATTAACAATATTTGGTAGATTTTTATAAATCACATCACCTTAAAAACGGAATAAATATTACCACAATAAAGGAGGAAAATACTCTTTTAGAGTGGCATTTCAAAAGGTAAATAAATTAGCTGATTCAAAATTAGCCAATGCCTTTCTTAAGGCATTTTTATCTTCCCATCTTTTGAATGGTTCCTACACTTGTGAATGCCTAGGCCCTTTTTCAGTACCAGTCAGTCAGTCAACTGGACTGAACACCTACAGAGTACCTCCACCATGTCCTGTGGACAAGAAAGGCCAAAGAAATAAACAAACACACACATAGGAGAGGGTCTCCCATGCCCAAGAAGCACACAATCAAGTGGAGAAGATCAAATGTGCTACTGAAATGGTTGAAGTACCTTTACCCAGTAATGACATGTCCAAGCCAACAAGTGCAGATTACTCCTGAATTTCGAAAAATTATGCCTAATTATCCTGAGACACTTACCTAGGCAAAATATGATTCTTGCCCGTACTGTTGCTTTGTGTCTCTGTTCTTGCTGTTTCCTTTGCCTAGAATGCCCTTTACCTTCATCTTCACCTGATGAAATTCCATCTCTCATTTAAGGTCTAGTTCAAAGGCTCCCAATTCCATGATGCCTAGGCTTACTCCATCTTGACTTCTCTGTTGCACTGGAAAATATACTCAGCTTTCCTCCCTAGAATTCCATGAGTCATACTTCTCCTTCCATCTCTTGATCATTTCTCTTCTGTCCCCTTTGATGTCTCTTCATCTTTTCCTAACTGTCTCTTAAGGATCGAATGTTAGGGAATTCTGATTCTGTGGTCCTAATTGCCTGTTTTCATGTGGTCTCTCCAAGGCTTTAGCTACCAGTAACTACCCCTTACACCCCTTACTTAGGCTCCAGCTCATATAAGCTCTATTTCTTGAGCTAATTCCTAGACATAGCTACTCGGATGTCACTATCATCTCAAACTCAACATGTCCAACCTGGACTCATCTTCACCCCTATCCTTTATCCTCACTCCAATTTCTTTACTTAAATCCAGAGCTTACTATGTCTTCTAAGCTTCTAGAGCTCTAAATAGTGACATCTTCTTTGATTCAATCTCTTCTTTTTCATATATATCCAGTCAGACAGATCAGAACTTAGCTCAAGTCTTATGCCCTCCAAGAAGGCTGTCCTCTCTGCTCCAAGGCCTGGAGTTTTCCACGCTCTAAATTTGCCTGCCCTACTCAATTTCTCTCTTACTTAGGAATGGGGCTTATATAGATATTTAACTGTTTTTCAGGCTCAAATGAATGAAGTCTTGTTCTTCTTCACTTAAAATCCTTCTCGTTTTCATCTCTCCCTACACTTCAGCTGCTTCCCCCGTGTGCTCTCCTCATCTCCTCCCGCCTAGGTTCGAGCAATAACCCCTGAGTGTCCTCCCTCCAACACCTTCTTCTCTACCGTGTCCCAGTGCTGATTCTCATGAAGAATGCTCTACTTCCTCTTCTCTGCCTAGCCAAATCCTCCTCATCTTCTAAGAGTGGGGTCATTGCCCACCTCTACTGGGAAGTCTTCCTGGATCTTCCAACCCTCCCTCGGTGGGGGTAGGGGGGTGGGGAGAGTTGCGTATAGATGGGAAAGTGGACTTTGGAGTTAGACAAACCTGGGTTTGAATCCCAGGGAGGTTACTTACTAACTCTATGGCCTCCATTTCTCTGAGCCTCAGTTTCCTCATCTATAAAACAGAGAAAATTATTTTTATCTTGCAGAGCTGTCGTGAGGATTAAATGAGATCACGTATGTAATGTGTCTGGCACATGGTAATGATTATTATTACCATGTAGGTCTTGAGTCTTCTCCAAGGCTGGGGCATTACACAACCCCAGGGGGTGTCTCCATGAATATTGCCCCTTGCAGTTGTGAAGTGCACAACTTGAACATGGTAGCCCAGGTCTAATGTGTCTAGTACTGATAGTTTGCTAAGTTATTATTATTCTTTGTTTTTGGTGAGGAAGATTGGCCCTGAGCTAACATCTGTTGCCAATCTTCCTCTTTTTTTCCTTCCTTTCCTCTCCAAAGCCCTGGTACACAGCTGTATATTCTGGTTGTAGGTCATTCTAGCTCTTCTATGTGGGACGCCGCTGCAGCATGGCTTGATGTGCTGTGCGTAGGTCTGCACCCAGGAGCTGAGCTGGTGAACCCTGGGCCGCTGAAGCAGAGCATGCCAACTTAACCACTCAGCCATGGGCCGGACCCTGATAAGTTATTTATATGTGGTTTAGTATTTAATAATCTGTAAGCTTCTGAAGAGAGGATGGGGAGGGAAGTGCTAGTTCTTGTGTGCGTAGTCTTGTATACTGCTACTCCTTGAACACCTTTTCTTACCGCCATCAACCTCCCCCACTCCATTGTATTGGACTAAACTACTTGCAGTTTCTCTGATGGCTACAGCCCGGATCCTCATGTCTTTGCACGGGCCCATTCTCTGGCTGGAATAGCCTCTAGCTCCCTAGGCTTCTTGACTTATCTCTTCCTGATTAGACTGTGTTAGTCTTGTTCACCATTGCATGCTCAGCATCTAACATAATGCCTGGATCATAGGACAAGCTCAATAAACATTTGTTGAATGAATATGGTATTTTCAGGGTTTATTACCTGGCTTTCCTCAAGAAGGGGCAATACGTTTTTAAATGAACAGCTGTGTTTCTTCAACTGTCATGGCTGCAATGGACTGAATGTTTGTGTGTCAGCAAAATTCATATGTTGAAATCCTAACCTCCACTGTGATAGTATTAGGAGGTGGGGCCCTTGGGAGGTGATTAGGTCATGAGGGTGGGGTCCTCAGGAATGAGATTAGTGCCCTTATAAAAGGGACCCCAGAGAGCTACCTTGCTCTCTTTCCATCATGTGAGGACACAACCAGAGGACAGCATTCTGCAACCTGGAAGAGAGCCATCACCAGATCCTGACCACACTGGCACCCTGGTCTTGAATTTCTAGCCCCCAGAATGATGAGAAGTAAATGTCTGTTGTTGATAAGCCACTCACTTTGTGATAGTAGCCCAAATGGACTAAGACAGTGACTGAATTTCTAATGTCTACTCATCTACTGAAACGCTATGTGTGTGTTATCATGGACATTGTGCTAACATTTTCTGCCTCTTAGTAGGTGTTTGGCTTTGGGCAAGGTTCTTAATCATTCTGTGCCTCAGTTTCCTTATTAGTAAAATGGATATAATAAGAGTACTTCTCTCAGGGTTGTAGTGAGGATTAAATGAGATGCTTCTACTATCTGGAATGTTCTCTCTCGGATCATCCCAGGGCTGACTCCCTCACATTCAAGACTCAGTTCAAATGACAAGTCCTCAGAGGCTTTCCCTGACTGTTCTAATCCCTTCTCTAATTTCTCTCATATCATCACCTTGTTTGAAATTCTTCATGGCGAGCCAGCCCTGATGGCCTGGCAGTTAAAGTTCAGTGCACTCTGCTTTGGTTGCCCAGGTTCGGATCCCAGGTGTGGAACCACACCACTTGTCTGTCAGTAGCCATGCTGTGATGGTGGCTCACACAGAAGAACTAGAAGGACTTACAACTATACATAACGATGTACCGGGGCTTTGCGGGGAGAAAAGGAATAAAAAGGAGGAAGATCAGCAACAGATGTTAGCTTAGGGTGAATCTTCCCATTCCAAAAAAACACAAGACATGGATGGTTTTTGCTTTTGTTTTTTTGAGGAAGATTGGCCCTGAGCTAACATCTGCTGCCAATCCTCATCTTTTTGCTGAGGAAGCCTGGCCCTGAGCTAACATCCGTGCCCATCTTCCTCTACTTTATACATGGGATGCCTACCACAGTATGGCTTGCCAAGTGGTGCCACGTCCGCACCCGAGATCTGAACCAGCGAACCCCAGGCTGCCGAAGTGGAACATGTGAACTTAACCGCTGCACCACCGGGCCAGCCCCCAAGGCATCGATGTTATTTTTTAAAAAAAATTCATGGCATTTGTCACTATCTGAATTTCTCTTTGTTTACTAGCTGTGTGACCTCAATTTCCCTGAGCCTCAGGTTCCATTCACTTCCATATTCTCAGTGCCTAGAATGGTGCCTGGAATGTAGTAGCACTCAATGAATATTTGTTGACTAAATTTGCTTCTTTTTCCCCTTTCAAGTCTTTGAGAGAGCTAATGGATAGCCAAACTTGGGGGAAATTTCCTGATCACAAAAGTCAGGGAACAAAACCCCTTTCGAAGTACTGGCAGTCTGTCACTAAGGTATAAGATCCAGTCCTTGGCCTCAGGACGGTGGGATGTGACTTGAGTGATTCTAAGAACCACTGGTGGTTTAAAAATCACTAGTGCATCCTATGCCTTCCACGGATGAAAAGTGATACAGCTATAGATCGAACTAAGGAGGTATGTAGCTCAGTGCTGTTGAATGATGCAGAGTGTAAGTGAAATGGGGATACAGAGGGAGGGATTCCATTGGGGGACCTTAAAGGAGAGAAAAGTCACCCTAGAGACCAGGCACCAATGTTTGTAAAGCACTTAGGAAATGCGTGGCCCATAGTAAAAACTGTATATGTGTTTATTAAATAAAAATGCCCAATTGATATTTTTATGCCATCAGAATTTTATTTTCTCTTTTAAAAAAGAAGTAAAAATATAAAAGAACTTTATTCATGAAATGACCACAGGCTGCCCTTTCTCAAAAACACTCAAAAGAGGGCCACAAGAGCACTTATGTGTCTGATATTAGTAAATATTATACACTAATTTTAGAAAGAACATCTACAGGAGACCCCGAATCTGGGGATCACACGAACTCAATCAGGTCATCCGAGTGAAGAGATGAATTCTGAGAAATATCTTCCAAGGGAGAAAACTGCTCAGGACGGCCCTCCTGAGCCTCTTCTTGGTGACGTGGGGCCTGGACACGCTCTTCTTCGTTGAAGACACAAGGTGGACAATCACAGTTGGGCCTTTGGCTGGACTGCGACAATGTGAACACCTCATAGCATGTCTTGCCATTCTGGACTGTGGTCCCTCCCTCGCTGGCTAGTTTCACAGAGCAGGGCGTAGTGAGCCACGGGGACTTTTGGGGGGCAGTGCATGACACTGGGATCATGTACTTCGATGAGGTACCCTTCGAAGCATAGTGCAGCTCAGTGCTGTACATAACCACGTCCTGAGAGACAGCCTTGGCCCTGATGCCACATTCAGTAACGCGGTAGGTGAACTGGTAGGCGTGTGGCCGAACATGGTTGGCAGGGCAACCATGGCCCAAGTGTAACTCATGAAAATGCACATATACGTCATTGTTCAACAAGAAGGGATGTACCGTGACCATGAACCAGTCTATGGAGCACAGCACAGTCATTGGACTTTGTCCGGAACAGGCCGCCAACAGAGAGGTGAGGATGAGCATCCCTGCTAGCCACTGGAAAACTTTCATCCTTGTAGCTGCTCGGCTAACTGCATTCAGGAAACAGGCCGTTGTCTGGTGAAGGTTTCTAGAGCACACAAAAACACAAAAGGCAAATCATCTTATTGCCTATTGAAAGTTCAAACATGATCATTTTTTTTAAAAAAAAAGGCTGTTCCTGGGGCTGGCCCCGTGGCCGAGTGGTTAAGTTTGTGCACTCCGCTGCAGGCGGCCCAGTGTTTCGTTAGTTCGAATCCTGGGCGCGGACATGGCACTGCTCGTCAGACCACGCTGAGGCGGCGTCCCACATGCCACAACTAGAAGAACCCACAACGAAGAATACACAACTATGTACCGGGGGGCTTTGGGGAGAAAAAGGAAAAAATAAAATCTTTAAAAAAAAAAAAAAAAGGCTGTTCCTAAAATATTCATAAAAGGTTAAGAGAGTAGAACTTAAATGATCTCGCCCCCGCCCCGCCCCCTGCAAGAGGTTAGCATATGAGGTGACGGATGTGTTAATTAACTCAATGGGAGGAATCCTTTCACGATGTGTACGCATGTCAAATCATCACGCTGTATGCTTCAAATACCTTACAGTTTTGTCAATTATACCTCAATAAAACTGCAAAAAAGAAAAGGAAAGCATTCCTGCGAGAACTGAATTTTAATTCCATTGTTGGAACTCACGTGTTTATAGATGCCTACAATGGTTTCTTTCAGTGACTTTACCATGCTGTTTTGGTATGAAACACACATCCCTCAGATATAGCATGAGAGTCCACACTGATCAGGAGAGGCATCCCTTTGTGTGGAACCCCAATAAAAAAAGAAAACAGTTTTTGTGCCAAACATTAAATAAGGCGACAGGAGATACAGTTTAATTCAAGCTGGCAGCACTGCCCTCCTTAAGGGCCCGGGTGTCCTCCCGTATACTGTACTAACAAACCCCTTCCTATTGCCTTTTTTTTGGTTAGCAGCAAATTTAATTAAATAAAACCTAAGAAAAGATTGTGGTTTATTCCTGACAACCAAATATTGAAATTTTGCCAAGCGGCTCACTTTTATTAATTTTTTTCTTTTTTTGAGGAAGATTAGCCCTGAGCTAACTGCTGCCGATCCTCCTCTTTTTGCTAAGGAAGACTGGCCCTGAGCTAACACCCGTGCCCATCTTCCTCTACTTTCGATGTGGGACGCCTACCACAGCATGGCTTGCCATGTGGTGCCATGTCCACACCCAGGATCCGAACCAGCGAACCCTGGACCACCGAAGCGGAACATGTGCACTTAACTGCTGCTCCACCGGGCCGGCCCCACCAAGTGGCTCACTTAAACTGATCGCATGAATACTTCATAAACTGCAGCAGTAGCATCTTAAGTCACCATGACTAATAGATTCCCTGATACATCAGTCGGACACCTCGTAAAATAGTGAAATTGCAGAAACAAAAACATAGTGATTTTTAATTTTACATTTTTCAGTCCATATTACACATGAATACTACTCAAAAGTCCCATATTAAAGACAAGGAGTCCTGGGTTTCCACTTTCCATGTTGATTGAGAAGGTATTTCCTAAAATATTCTTTGTGGCCATGGTTTGTACCTCCTTGAGTCATAGCCTTTGCTTTGCGTTCTTCTTTTATTTTCACTAGCTTGTTCTTTTCTTTTTCAGTGGAAAGCTCCGTGGCCACTTCCGAGTCCTATTGCCTTTTACCGCCAAAGAATGGCAGGCAGAGTAGCAGGGAGAAAAAAAGAGCAATGCTAAGAACTAGTGTCTAAAACACAATATCAGAAGGAGGCGACAAATGACGAAAGAAGCAAGCAAGAGGAGTATCATCAGATATTGTCCAAGTCAGCTTTCATTTTAAAAGTGAAAATGACATAAATCAAATAGCAAAGTGCCTAAAATTTCATAGGAAATGTATATGTCTAAGTGTAGGGTTTTATTTTTGCTCCCTGCTGAGGGAAGTGACCCCTGCATAAATGAGTTCATTCTTTGGCTAATATTTTATTGAGCGACTACTACATGAGCAGCATTGTGCTAAAAAGCATCCCAAGACATTTCTTTCCTCCCCTTTTCTCCAGTTGCAAAAATGCAGCTCTTTCTCTTCCCTTGATATTGATGAATCTGCCGCATCCTTTAATGGAAACCACGGCACAGGAGCCCACCGGAAAAGTGCACTGGCCTGGATGAAATGCTTTGTTTCTAAGCCAGGCCCGTGATCTGACTGGTACGGATTGGGCCTCGCTCTCTCTCACTCTCCCGTTAGGGACTCCTCACTCTCTCGGGGGTGTTGGGATGTAACGAGAAGCCTGAGGGGCCTGCTTTCTTCCTTCTTTTCCTCTCTGTTCCTTCTGAAAACTCTCCTAGGACTGCTCTTTCGTTTTTCACAAAGCGAAAATGGAAGCAGCAGCAACAAACAAAAAAGCCAACCTTCTTACCCTTCCGAAAAACGAAACAAAATAAAATGACAACAACAACAACAAACCAAGTAAACTCTGATGCCGGCTGCTCGTGGATAATGACTCAACAGTCAAATAAACAAACCACTTGCTCCGGAACGATGCATGATATTTGCTGAGTTTCCTTTTGGAAGCTGAGATAATTACTCTTTGCTACTGCACCACTGTCTCACTGTCTTGGCTAAGGAAGACCACCTTAGCATCCTGAGCACGCCTTAGGAGTGGCTTTCTCTCCCTCTCTCTCTTTCTTTCCTTAACATCGTCTCACAGCCGGGACCTATTTGCTCTGAACAAAACCCTCCCCTTTAAGCAGTTCCTGGAACAGGCCTAGGAAACAATCCTTCAATTCCATTTTTGTTGTTCAAACCCCAAAACTGAGACCCAAGTTTAAGGCTGTGTTCTTGTCCACAGAGTTAAGCCATCCATTTCCTCTCCCTTCCTCCAGCTTCTTTCCTAGCCTCCTCCTCACTCTCATGAATAATCCAAATGAAGTCATAAAAAGTCGATTCCCCGAGAAACAAGACAGTTGTCCGGAACCGACCATTTTAGACTACCTCACCTCCCCCCACATCCACTCTTTGAATTACATTGCACTGAATCAGTCTTAAAGGAGGGAACTCAGTAACATTACTGAGTTTGCGTGTTTATTTAGTACAAATCTCCCAACTCAGACAGGACAGAATCTGTTTCCTCTGATTTTCTCATAGCCAGGAACAGATTGCCACATGGTGGGAGCAATAAATGGAGATGCCCATGTGTGTGACAACATAGCTTTGAGGTCAGGTAGAGCTGAGAAGTGAAGTCAGTGAGACCCAGGTTTAAGATGGTGCATCTCTAAGGGGAGGGGGAGGAGCCGGGATATTAGGAGGCGAGCAGAAGGTATTTGCTGATGAACTTGCTAACACCTAGCTCAATGCCACACTTGGGCAGCTGCTCCCTTTTGCTGAGTACAGGTCATCAGAACTGGGCAGCCTCCCTCCCCTGCGGCCTGCCATTCTCAGGGAAGGGTGGAATGCACATGTGTATGTGCGTGTGCGGGATGGTCATAAGTCATTCACAACACAGTGCCAATTCATCAAATCAGCTGGCTTTTCTAACATCTAGCTGAGATGTGCTGGCTGAATGGGCTCTTGGGCAGAGGAGTGGGGGGGGCTCTGATTACTGCGGGCAGAGGAAAAAGAGGGCCAAGAGGCTGAGATGGGAAGGGGGTGCCAGAAGAGACGGCTGTGTGGGGGTGCCAAACTGAAGGTATTTTTAGTCCTAGTTGGGGCTGTGCACAGCATCCCGGGCGCTGTGGACGGAATCCTATTTAAAGTCTCCGGAAGTCTGCAGAGCTGAGGGGAGTCGAGGACTGGGGAAAAAAAATGCAGAGAAGGGAGCGCTCACCTTGGGACTACTGTCCAGCTTCTTAGAGGCCGCTGGGCTGTTAGAAAGCAGGTCTCAGGGTTTGCATTACCACAGCCCCATTTTGACTTGATTGCAAATGATCCCTGTGACATTCCAGAAGCAATGAGCTTAGATGCATTTGTACAGCTGAGCAGGGCTCAGCTATCGGTACATACTGTCCTGAACTAAGCTATAGAGAGGCCAGCAAAACCAGAGCTGCTAATGACACCTGGCTGCAAAACGTTCGCTTTCTTTGCAGCTACGGAGTACAGTAGCTTTCTGTTTTTCCTAAATGTGGTTTATGCATATACATTTTCCATTAGTTTCTTTAAAAGAGTTTTCCTCCTACTTTTCAAGAACTCCCTAATAAGCCTAATTCTTAATAAATCCTTTATGTTTTTTTAAAAAAATCATGAAACGTTTCATTCTGGGAATGTGAACTCTATTTCTTAATGTCTTACAAGAAAGAGATTAGAGATCGGTCTAAACACAGAGCATTTTTTAGTCTCAGGAAGAAAAGGCTCTTGTTAAAAGAGACAAAAGCTGAAGTCCAAATTAGTTTTGCGACGCTGGTGAGTGAATTGAGAAGTGTAACACAAATCTCCTTGAAAGCAGACAGGATTTTTGCCTCCCCATCTCCTCTGATGTCGTTAGAGACACATCTGAACTCTTTGCATGGGGAATGGGGAGGGGAATTAGCTAAACATTTCCACATCTGGTTTTGGAACGCTTTGGAAAAAGAACTCACTCCATAGGCTCCTGGAAGCTTTTTGGGTCGACAGTTATTTATTTTTAAAATTCAGTATACTCATGACAGCATAGTTATCATTTGTATATTGTTTTCCCAGAATCTTGTTGTCAAAACAAAAGGAAACAGAGGGGAAAAGGAAACCAAAGCAGTGTGCAATTATCCAGGGAAATATAACTGTCAGGGCTTTGATTTGCAGCAAAGTTTGTCCACTCTCTCGCAGCTGATTTGAAGAAAAAGGAATCTGAGTTGGAATAAAGATTCTTTTACAAAACAAGAATGGGAAAAAGAATCCTAACACTTTGTGAACTCTTTCGTTTAGAAATTCAGATGGTCACATTCTGACTTTGCCCTGCCAACTATCTCAAGGTTTGGGAGACTTTTTAAATTGAGGTTCTTTTTAAAGCCCAGTTTTAAAGAATTAGTGGGTTTACTGCTCTCAAAGAAAGGAGGCTTGTGATTATACTAGTGACGTCGAAGGTACATGAAAGT